TTTGTGTGTTGAGATGAATGAGTGGACCTTTTGCTGCAACAGCTCTGACAATACCAGTTCCCTAATCATTAGCACAAACATAGGTGTCATATGTTTATCATTGCGGTTATATTGCTGTCAAACTTACCCTTCGGTTTGTTAATAATAGGAGTCGAGTGACACTTCACATGAAATCCTTTACTACAAGTCAAACATATGATAACGTATTCCTATCAAGTAATTAAACATTTAATTTAATATCTCTTAAATTGTATACAAAATTAAGAAATGCATTAAATAAGGAGTGAAATGATATTTCATAAGATTATTGCACAAACTATTGCTTACATTGGTATCGGTTTGGCGACAAACAGAACAGAGTTTGCAGTTATGGCACTGCCATTGAGTCTTATGGACCACTTCCTCTTCACTCACATTCACACAACTCGGATGTGCTGTAAATCATAATATTATTATAGTTTATGATTGAGTTTACAACGAATCTAATCATACGAAACCTTTAGCGTCACAATTGGTGCAGTGAAGGAGTTCTTCGCACACATTGAGTGAAGTGTGCGACGAAAACATAGTGAGAGAACAGATATCACACTTTGGTTCATACGTGTCGCGCAAGTATTGCATTCCCAGTTCCGCGGGCTCTAAGAAGTCCGGACCCAAAGACTTCTTGAATTTCTGTCAAATTGAGAAATCGGTTGTAAATATCAAAAACAACTTAACAATTGAAATGAAACTCACTTTGCGTTTACTGATGGGTCGAATGCGCTGAAGTACGGGAGCGGTCGACTTCCTCTGTCGCTTTTGAGCACCGGTTCCGCATTGAGTGGCCAATAGTGACGTTCCGTCGCCTATGGAGTTATCATCTCCTTTGGGGACACTCTTTATCTCGGTTTCCATTTCTCGTTATAAACTTATCTAAAGTTTTCGGTTTAAACCAAATATTGATCACAATATGATTCGTTAACTGATTTAAAATCTCAATTCACTCACTGTTTAGTCTTAAGGCGTGAAGTGGTTTGCGGTTTGCAACGAATGCAAACACAATGTAAACTATCCTTTGCTTTGATGGCAATCAATATATCACTCAATGAAATACTAAATAAGAGAAAATCCCATTATTTAGTAAATAATTGACGAATAATATTAAATTACAATTAATTTATGCGAAAACAGTTGAATACAAGAATTGGTAGGAATTAACAGAAAAGTTACAATTAGTTTAACAGGAAATTAAACACATTTACATTTGAGTATAAGATATGTTTGAAGTTTGAATAGAGAGAGAGAGAGAGAGAGCAGACAATATCGATGTCAACAATATTGCATTCAATTCACTAATTAATTAATTATCTCTTTTCAAAATACATTTCACACAAATAGTTAATATTAAAAGTATTAATAAAAGTTATTATTAAAAAATTATAATAATAGAAATCATATTGAGTTATAATACGGTTATCAACGAGTATTTAATGGCAATGATTACCACTTTGAAAGTAGTTTAAAGGGTTTAACGTATCTAACAATTGAATAACAACTATAAAGTGATTTAAATTTCTGGTTAATTAATGAGAAGTAATTGTGAACTCAATTATAGTGAATAGGAATTAATGAATGAAATATACGGTACAATAAGTTATACATATATTTTGCTCATTCATAGCATACAACACATCAAATCAATTACTCAATTGTTTTTCAAACACAAACTTCACTCACATATTAAGAGCCCATTCTTTGCATACATTATTTCAGCGCTAATTTCGCTCAAAACTCGCGTTAATTGTCAGTGAATTTGAATTTAAAATCATAACTGAATTAACAATATATGAGAAAAAGTGTATTAAAAAAGGGACACATATTTAGTACGTCTTTTTGGGTCGCAATAACTTATTGTACAGTAAGCCTGACTTCGCTGTCGGCTATACTGTACTCTATCTGAAACAATACTGTATAGGCTTTACATTGTATTCAATGTCTAATCAATGTCTAAATCACACATAAATCCAATACTTTATAAACTAAACTCAATTACAAACCAATTTAAGCGCAAAAAACACAATCAATTGATTGTATGAATGAGTTTTAATGGGAGAAAAAGTGAGAGAAAAATGCATACAAAAAATATATTGATCTCATTTTGAACTGTTTTTTCTCAGTAGACATCAAACAAAACTAATAAAACATTTCAATTAATAAATACAGTTATATATGCGTTGAAATTCAATGGTAATCAACGCACGAAACAAATGGCATTTGATTGTGATTTGCGTTAAATTGCATACAATTATTGCCAACCATTTGGCGATCAAATCAATAGTTTTGTTCACTCTTTGAAAGTGACAATTGAGTGAAACGATAGACTCGTCTCTCGATTGGGAAAAGTGTAGGAAAACAACAATCGATTCATTCAAACCTTTAATGAGTGATATGTTTAGTGAAATGAGTTGTGATTTCAATACAATTAGACCACTGTTTGTGTCGAATGAGTCGCGAATTACGGCCAAACAAAAGTCGATTACTATTCCAATAGTATTACACCAATTGAATCGAGAGTACAGTACAGCCCCGGTATTGGTTACGCTTAGACCTAATACAGCCTAACTCTCGCACGAATGGCATAAAGCTTGCAAAAGTAAGTTCAGTTCAGTAGTAGAGTTGTGGTCGCCATAGAGACCGTACACAACAAGTTTGCCTCACATTCAATGGCCTTTCAATGAATACAACATTTTTTTCACGCATTTGTTGTGAAAACTTGTTGTCTGTTTGTCGTCGCCTGTCATCGACTGTCATCACACGCGCGGATCAATTGACCGGTGATTTGTGACAATGGGTTTGTTTAAGCAAAGCTCACTCAGTGTCCGACTCATACGTATGGGCTGTAAGAACCGGCCTTTCTATCAGTTGGGAGCGCTTCCCACCCGAAGAAGACCTAACTTATTGCCCGACGAAGTGATCGGAAACGTTGATCCCATTCCCAACCATAACAATGAGATCATCGCAAGCGTCGACTTAAGACGACTCGCCTATTGGACCGGAAAGCGTGTCATCTTTAGTAATGGCGCGAAGAGTATACTGGGTTTGTATGACACCATGTGTTGACACCATTATCATTAAGACATTGCATCTCCCGATACACACTTAACCGCTACCATACAATTGCATGACATTTATTTAGTTAAACACTAACTTTGCATTTAATGATTCATTATATTTTACATGCAATTTGTTTTCCAAAGTTGGCATTTGTCTCACATTTAAACAAAGTGTTGCATTTTATTGAATTTTGTGTCATTTACTGTATTATTAAAATAGTTATTAAATATAAAAATTAAAATGAATTGTTTGATGACAGGAATGGCCGGTTGGCTCCCAATCCCTCCTAAAGTCTATATAAAAGCCTTAGAAAATCGAGAGAAGGAAAGATCCGAACCGTTGGAGAAATCGGGTGATAAGGAGGACAATGAGGATGAGTTTGTCATAGAAAAGGTGTTGACTGAGAAACGCATTGTTTAATCACTCACTTCTCCACATTTCATAGCGATTAGTAAATCATATAATAAATTGTAATTAGATTTTATGTTAAAAACTGAAATTTTAATAATAAATAAATGTTTGGATTATTAGTGGCACAGAAAACACAAAACAAACTTCATTTTATACTTCGTTTTGAAAATAGATTTCCAAATAAAATTTGAATTATAGTTGAAATTTTGTTGGGAATGCTATTAGAGTTTGAAATATTGGATAATTAATTACATTATAATCAAAAATAATTGGAAATAAGTTTTTTTTTGGAGGAAATATATGTATATATAATGAAAGAGTTATATTTGTTGTGATTATAAAGTTTCAGATATAATTTGCTGAAAATAGAAAGATATATTTGGAAACGAAACAAAATATAATGATTTCTCGATTACAATTGAAATCATGTATTTTATATCTTATATAATCTGTTCGTATGTTATTATAATTTATATGCTTATGTTTTTTGTCTTGTTTTACAATACGGTATTTGTTTTGACGATTAGATCGGTATATATTTATATATATGAGGCGTTCGGTCATTCATCTAATGCTATATCGAAACACAGTTTTGTTGTTTGTTTTATGTTTAATAAGTAATTGTTATATACATTGCTATTATACAAGAAAAATAATCTTAAGACCAAATGATGAGTTAACCATCTTCTTTGGGAGGTGTAAACCAACCTTTGGTTTGGTACCAAAATTAAATCATTAATTGTTAATTAACTAAATCAAAGGACTAAGACTTACCATTCTTTTCATGGATTTGAACGAGTGATTTAAAGGACTGTTGAGCTCGTGCTAAGCTGTACTGACCCTAAGAGAGACACACTATTAGTTGCTGTAAATAATGTTAATTACATGAATGCATTACTTTATTGCCCCCGAACTGAATGCGTGCTTTGCCTTTGACAAGAGTGGCCGATATTTGTAATATAATCGCTTCGATCGTATAGGCGCTGCTCCAGCCCTGCAAATGGTGACAAATTGGCGTTTAGTATGACATCCATTAAGTTGTATAGTCAACGATCAATACCTGTTTGGTGAGCAGTTCCATACATATGGCTCCGCCGCCCAACACATAGCCCCCAGTGATGGAGGGATGAACGACACGAACGAATGGCGGTTCGAAAGGAAAGGCTTCTTTGAAGAGGACATTGAGGAGAATGAAGTCCTTTCCCTCTTTCTCTTTGAGGACTTGTAAGTCATTGTGCAGTTGAGAGTCGGGATCCACGACCAGAAGCTTGACGTTCCACTCGTAGAGACTATCGTTAACTAAATCGACGGTAAAAACGCCTCTTTTGAAACTTTCCGATCGATAGACTTCTTTCAACTCTTTCATGAGCCGATCGGTGGCCTGTACTGAGCCCGAGACCGAGCCCTTGAGGTAGCCGTCCCTTTGGTTCTGTCGCAACCGTTCCAGTGTTGCCGTGTGTTCTGTCGACAGGCCTTCGTCTTTGTTCTTCTCCTGGTTTTGATTCTCGTCTTCCATCTCAATGTGCAGGTCTTCGTCGGCCATCTCTTCGTCGTCGTCCTCCTCATCGTCACTGATCATCGGCTCCACTGAATTGTGATTAAACGATGGGTACATGTGTTTGTCGTCTATGAGCTCATTGCAGATGAATGACTGGCCGTTCAAACCATCGCAATACCGAATTTGGTCCAACTTTTCGATGTCTTGTATTAATGGCATGTTATTTATACGACACATCTCTTCCACTAAAATCCGTATTTGTCTTAATAAGTGATTGTCTGCGCCATTAGTATTGCTCAACGATTGGACCACATTTGTGACGACCGGCTCTTCCGACTCCGAGAACCAAACGGGAGGTACCGATGGATATGTTTCCTATAGATTGGGATCAAATGGTGTCAATCAATACATAGGGGCTCTCATTATTCACACAATCAATGCTATCTATAATTACAGTAATATTTGCGTGAATTTCGTATTTCTTTCCGTTATTAGAGATGAAACGACAGGAGATCTCATCGACGGTCGCAGACATCACTTGAAACCTGTCGTGCGTTTTGGGGAATGTCTTCTCCAGACGTTTGATGTCTGCCTTCAATGAGTTGAGACACGCCATCGAAACGATCCTTTCAATCACTTATTGTCCACACTTTCAATCACTTCAACCAAATCACCACCGAATCAGTCAATCAAACAATTCAAGAGTCAATTCAATACAAATAAACCGATAATTAGTTTACAATTAGACAAAACTAATGAGCGATTCATCGCTTCCTTCTATTGTTCAATACATTTAACATTAAATTCAATGCAAATCGCATTCAAACGCCAATCAATGCTTTCAATTGCACTCAACTCCGCATTCAATGGCAAAAGTGGTCAACAATTGATTCAACCGTTGGTTTGGGCGACAATTGCGGGACAAATGTAATGATAATTAAAAGTATTGACAAATAGACGCAATTCAATGCTATAATGCTTTCAATGCATTCAATGGCTATTAAATGCTAATACAATACAATCGCAAACAACCATTCAATACAGCCTTTCAGCCAATACTCAACACAACTCACAGACAACGTTACCACTCATTGCCCATACATTCGCACACAGTTTGGCACGTATTTCAACCAATCTTTCAATTTATAATCATTTCATTTATTGCACATTAAATCACTTTCGCATTCATTGTCTTCACTTATGGTCACTGTTTTAGTTGTATGGCATGTATTGACTATAGTTGACAACGAGTGCTCTCATACTCTCATACGTCAAAAGGCAATCAGTCGGGGGTCTGAGAAATGGACCAAAAATTAGGTCAAATTCATTGCAATACAGATTTTGCACAATATTTTAGCCTCACTTCTGGTGCGATAAAAATCTTCGCGTGTATTCAATAGAGTATTCAATAGTGTATTGATTTTAATGTATCATTAATTGTCTGTCCATTCAATTTGAATTGACGTATCATTTACTGTGTCTGTATTTGAACCGCAAATAGTTTTATAACACTAAAAGTTTTAGTCAAAGATTACTAAACATAAAGTAAAGACACAAAGTATTTGTGCACTAAAATGAATACAAATGACTAAAATGATGTGCTTTTATGCAAATATTTGAATCACTTTTATGCCAATAAAATGACCAAATAATCGCTTGTATTACTGTATCACAAACTTTTGTCAATGCGTCTATGACTCTGTGTTAATCAATTTGAAAGTTCACATTTTTTAAATTAGAAATATTAAAACTTTTAGTTAGAAAAGTAAAATTGTAAAGTTAACATTAAATTCCCACTACTTTATACTTATGCAATGAGAATAATTAAAAAAAACTGGTGTTAATTAACATGTGGTGCAAAGAGTTTGCACTACTGTTGGACACCACATGAGAGGACAATAACAAGTTTTTTGTGGTCAGAGAATAGATAAAATCGTAAGACACTAATCGCTGAGATCTAAAAATCCCACAAAATTTTCCCATTGTGTGTGCGAAAGAAAAAAACGTGCAAAACCTTGAATTACTATAACATGGCCTCCAATATACACCATAAAGTTGTCCAAACTTTTCAAGTATTGAAAACATTGCAATAAAAGTGGACAAGTATTTTGAAAAACTTGACCCATTGGTCAGTAGAGGTTGGGATGAGAGTCGGGGTATTGTAATCCATATTATTGATTAAGGGATACTGTGAGACAATATAATCATGTAATTTAGCTACATTAGGATTTAAAATACTTTTGTCAATCGAGTACTACCTTAAAGGAGTTGACTGTGTTTTTGTCCAGTGATTCACATTTGCGTTGTGCTCGACAAG